CCCCCCCCCCCCCCTCAAGAAAATTCACTTTTGGTCAGAAGTATTGAAACTGAGATAAATACATAGGGAGATAGTCCGTGATCTGCTCTTTCAGAAACGAAAAAATTTTCTTCAGTACTTCAGTTTTTCCGAGAAATTTTCAAGATTTTCGTCACCCTCTATGAGAAAAAATAAGCTGTTTTTAGAAAAAAACCAAAAAGATTTTCGATTTTTTCTCAACTACCACTTTCCAAAAAGGGCATCCTAAATTTCTTCTCCCCGGTTCGTTCAATATATTAATATTTTTTTTCTGTTGGAAAGAGCATCTCAAGACGCAGGGCATGACATTGCCCTTTTTTAAATTAGGCTTTTGTTTGGTCAATGTACAGCCAGTTATATGATTTTACTACCATTTTTTGACACTTTTTTGAGTCATTGAACTTGTGATCCATTTTTTGCGCTTAAAAATGGACTATTTCAAAAAAAGGACAATGTCATGCCCTGCGTCTTGAGATGCTCTTTCCAACAAAAAATAATATTAATATATTGAACGAACCAGGACCGAGAGATTTGGGATGCGAAATGAGTCATTTTTGACCTTTGTGTGGCTCATATCTCCCTGAAACCTGAAGATTTCTGACTGAAAATTTTATGGTAGTCTTCCCTTTCTAGCGCCAATATATCCTGAAAGTTTCATCTCATTTGGATGTTCCTGAGCTGAAATCGATTTTTGACGGGGGGGGGGGGGGCTTAACAAAGTTGTTAGCGCAATCCTTGTAGAATGAAAATGTGAAATAATATATAGCTGTTATTGTTAATCATAGAAAGATTGATTTTTATTCTATCTATTAATGGGTACATTTCCTCATCATCAATTTATTTAATCATTTAGAAATACAAAAAGAAAGATAACAAGATGTGTTTATTATATATCAACAGTGTCTGTCACCAGTCCTGATGTTTATGTCTGTCATGTCTGGAATGTGTCATCACTAAGATTTCTGTCATGTCTTTGATTAGCTGTTTCTAATATATCTGTGACAGTCTGTCGATCTCATCTGTCATGATCTGTGGAGACGAGTGCAAATTTCTATCTTATATGCTTCAATAATCCTTTTAGATCACATTTCACCAAAATCTTTGACATCTGCAAATATCTCATAATTTCTTGAATTATTCAAAATAAATCTTTCAATGTAACTCCTACAATTTTTATGTATGAAACATAACATAATTTTTTTTTGCCTCATTGTTAGTAATCTATCGACATATACTCGTACTATTTCGTTTTATATTTATAAATTTACATTTTATATTGAAGCCATAGTTTATATTTAATGTTTATAATCTATTTTTTTTTGTGTTTCTAGCCAAACGACCAACAACATCGGTACCACGAACGCAGAAAAAACGCTAAAGAAGAAACAAAAACATTTTTTTTTTGTCGTTCGTCAGATGTTTGTTTCTATAATTCGCACTAAATTACTTTATTATGTAAAATAAAATCAAGTAGACACAAAAAAAAAACAATATATACTGTTCTCATCACCAGCATTGATCCATATATATATATATATATAAAAGAATTAAGTCACATGAAGTTTAAATTCACTGGGATGAAATCTGACTCGGAAGAAAAATATTAATTTTTTTATTCACTTATTCGATGCATTGGGTGTTGAGGAAACATGTGAAGCTGATGTTGGCATCATATAACCACGTGGTCGAACCAAATATGTTGTCATATTACCTTTACCTTTAACAAATATTGGTCCACGACATTCACATGGATAACCATTTTCAAATAAAACTTTTTGAGTTTCTTCCGGTACCTTTTTGTAATGATCAAATAAAAATGATTTCGTTTTTTTCTTCGGAATAAAACAATTTATTGATTACTTACATGAATGCAGCTAACAACGCCAGTGCTATCCATACGTGATGCAACATTAACTGTATTTCCCCAAATATCATATTGAGGTTTCTTGGCACCGACAATACCTGAAAAATAAGGTCAGTATAGGACTTTCATATTTATGGTGATTAAAGATAGAAAAACTAATGTTATCGATAGACTTTTATTGTACTAAAATATTTAGATGTCTAAGCATTTATCAAGTTCAATCGATAATTTTAAGTATGATCAAAACATAGAAAATTTATGAGTATTTAATTACCAGCGACAAGAGGACCATTACACATGCCAACACGTAATTTGAAATCATTGAAACAATCACGATTAATACCTTCGAGTACTGCAATCATAGCAAAAGCAAATTCAGCAAGTGCAACAATATTTTGATTATATCGTTCTCTTGTCTAAACAAAAAAGAAAAAAACTACAAAGATACAAAAAATATTTTTGTTATTACCATTCTATGTTCTGCACCTGGATTGAGACCAGCGGCTGCCATATACGTATTACCAATAGTTTTTATTTTCTCTACACAACTAAATTTATTCTTATCTAATAACTAAATAGGAGAAAAGAAATTCTAGAAAAAAAGAAATTAATAAATTGTTTTAGAACAGACTTTATCAAATTCTGCAATGATTTCATTGAGTAATCTTAAACATTCTAATCCATCATTATTGGCATCTGATTGAACATAAAATTCTTTAAAATTAGGTATTGATGCAAACATAACAACGACATTATCATAACTTTCATGATATAGACCCTAGAAAAATAAAAGCCTTTCTTCAAAAAAAAAATAATCTCCAGCTATGAAATATCAGTTTCAATAATAATTTCAATTCCATTTTAAGCTCTAAAATTTAAAAGTTGCTAATCGAATAAACTTCTTTACCTGACTCATATTTTCTTTAATAATTATTTCAGCCACATGTTTAGGTAAAATATTTTCTAATAAAAGTCGACTAATAGTGCTCACTGTTTCTACTTCATGTTTTTCATTTTGAAATTTAATTGTCCATAATAAATCTAGTCGACTCATATATTCAATCTAGATAAGAAAAAAAAAAAAACTATTATCTATATATTTCTTAAGAAAAATTTATTTACCCGTCGATCAAGACCAATTAATAAAAGAATAAAAAAGAATACTTCAAATGTTGTTTGTATTAGTAATAAATTACTTGTTAAACCATAACTACTAGCAATAATATTATAAACATTAAAATAATGTGAATAGAATACATAAATAGTTGCTGTTATAATCATAATCGATGCTTTAAGTAGAAAATATAGATGCATAAATGATGAAACAGTTAATAAAGCAAGTTGAATAAGTAATATATGATATTCGAAATGATGACATAATTCATATGTATCAGAATTTGCTGGAGATGGAAGAAGATTAGTCTAAATGAATGTACATTAAAATATAATCAACTAGATTTCCCTGTAGATATTTCCGGATTGAACATATCCATTAGCCCTTCGGTTACTTTTCTAATGCTGTAAATAATTCTCAAGAACAAACATTTGTCATTTGAATGTGTTACAGCTTTCAATCGAATCACAGAACTGAAACTGATAATCAATTCTGTTGATATAAATTGATATTACTGCATATTTCATTTTATCTATTTTGAGTCATGTAACCGATTAAGTATTCAATGACTCGGCTCATATGAAACGAACTAATAATTAGAGTAAATTCTCAAACAAGCACTGTTTTATCAAGTTGAAAGCTATTACATATCTTTTAGCATTCCAAAGGATTCTTTCAACTTTGATCGAAAGCAAAACAAATTTTTATTATTTCCACTCAATTCGAAGGTATTGAACTGATTATTTTATTAAAGATAGAATAATATTCTAATTTTTTTTTTTCATAAGATCTTTCAATTGTCAATATTCACTTCAATACGTAATTCAATTTTTTATAGATTCGAAAAAACAAGAAATGCAGAGATTATTAACGTCGGACAAATACAACAGAAGTCAAGATAACCTGTATTCATTTCATACAGACAAACTTCAATGTATCCTTGCAGTTTTTCGTGATGTGAATGTCAGAGAGTAGAAGATCCCAACACACACACTCGTGCAATTATTAAGATAGTAGAAAAAGCTAAACCTGAATGACAGAACGAAAGAGACAATTGAATATATGCGTCGGAAAAGAATGCATGCATAAATTAATCTGTTTATTTTATTTTATATCACTATTAAATGTTACATTACTCTATTGAATTGAACGTTGACAATTGAAAACAGTTTTCATTAGTAGTTTTGTTATGAAAAAAAAAAGTTTAAACATACTTTAAGTCGAATATCTATGAGTAGAATGAAGACATTCAGATTTTTCATCATAGAAATGGTTGCGATTCACTCTGTATTCTATTCACCTAAAATTTTGAAAAATTTTTCCGATTAAGATTTCTAAGGTTTGACTTGTGTACTTAAAGTTAGTTACAGTTACGTGTACTTTCTAATGTAACCTTGAGAATAAATAGAAAATTTCTTTGAGTAGATTGCTAATATTACTAAAGTATCTGTTGACAAAAACAAACAAGAAGGAGGAGCACATCAATTATACTAAACAACTTAAACATGTATTAGATAATTGTATCGTACTCGTATGTCTAATTGTCAAGTTATTTCGAGACTCATCAATTCTACTATTTCCTTTCTTCATATGTATTACGATCAAGAAAACATATATATTACTTGATTAACAAGTTTTGTTAATGAAAGATTTGTTACAACGGTGGTATTCATATATTGTTCAATAAACTTATTTGACGTTCGCCATGATATAGCAAATGGTGTTAGAATACAAATAGCAATTAATATGAGGCTAACAGGTGCACGAATAAAATAATAATGTGTTACTAAATATGTTGATTGCTCTAATAAGGAATGATGATTGTCATGTTGTAGCTTAAAGAAAAAAGAAAAATATTTTCTTTTAGAAAATGAATTCACAAACTTTTGAAAGATCAACAACAGAAAGAAGTGCTGCTATGGCAAATGCACATATGCCAATAGTCACTAACACAAGAAAAAGAGCATTTCTATAATAATACAATAGATCTATATTAAATAATAATTGAATTTTGTTTTTTTAGATTACTTTTCTAAAATCAATATTTGAATAACTAAAATAGCAAGAAAAACACAAGCTGCATTAATAACATAATATCGATAACATAATTCTGGTAATGAACGAAATAATGATTCACTAGCTGTTCGATTTTCTTCATCATCATCTAAAACTCTTTGTGCTTTACTTGCTTGTTTATTAAATTCAAGTGTAAATGGTTCAAGACCATTTGTACTTCGTCGACGATGGCTAAAAAAAAAAAGTTGAAAATTTCAAGAAACTCCTCTTATTATTTTTTTTTGCAATTTTTACAAGCAAGAAAATGAAGTTGCTAATGGTTTTAAATTATCTTCGAGAAGTACAAAACTTTTTGCTGCATCAGCTTTCTCATTATCACCAAGACCTTGTACGGAAAATGGTGTTTCATTTGACCATGTATCCAATAATTTTTGCATTTTTTTACTCGATTTACGTGTATCACCACTACTAAAACAAATATTAATTAATCAAGAATAAACTTGAAGAAAATTAAAAAAAATATATATAAGAATTGATCATATATCCTACTTCATCATTAATTGATTTTGTGCATTTGGTACATCACGTGGTATTATAAAATATGTTTTAATACCTAATTTAGCAATATAATCATCACGTTCATTTCCATGAGCTTCTTCAACTTCGTATTCGCCGCCCAAACTGAGTAATGTACTTTCAGATATATGAACACGTCTATTTATAAAACAAAGAGATTTTTTTTTCGAAGGATATTGGTTAATATATGTTAAGAATTTTTTTGATATCTTGAATATGAAACTAATACTCGACATTCATATGGAATTAGTCTTAATCATATTTTAACTAACATTCAATCTCGATTTTCCATTATTAAAAATTTTATTTAATCATGAACAGAAAATTTTTTCTATTTTACTATTATCTAATAGGTAACCTTTCATAACGCTTTTTATTATAAATTGAAACTTTTCTATGGTTTAGCTAATTGGCTTGATCATTTATATTTTTATTACAGATTTTTTCAGGAAGTTCTTATGGTAAGTTCAGATATGTTGAGCTCAGCACATCAATGAGTTTTTTTATCGGTCTCTTAGAAGCGATATGCTCATATTTTTGAGCTTTGGTTATGTTTTCGATTGTTTCATCATTCTTTATTTGTTCTCTACGATCACAATTGCAAATATCTTATGTATGACATTGTACTCGCTCTCTGATGTTAACTTTACATGATGTATTTTTTCTTTTATATCTCTTCATTAGATAGCCATGAGACTCAGTATAATTAAAGCATAGAATGAAGAAAAAAACGACATTTTCTTTTAACATTTTGCAAAGTCGAATATACAACGGTTCTCGAAATTCATCTTACAATCAACAGATGAATTTGTTTTGCTGAAGTATTGACACATTAAGCCGTTTGAGTAGATATCACTTTTATCTAGCACAACAAGTTTATAGTGGAAAGACTTGATACTTGGTCCACATAGACTATGAAATCTCAGCTTCATTTTGCAAAAACAAAGCCGCTGCTCGATACTTGAAGGCTCTCTTGACATATTAGGGAACCAAGGTCATTTGTTAAGTGTGCGATGAATTCGAGCATCTAAGAAAATCAGCATCTAAATTGAAATGTCACTCAATGTCGACTTGGGTCTAACTAAATGTCAAAACCATATGAAACGCTAACACATATCAAGAGAACTATTGTATCTATAGAAAATATAGTACAAACAGAATTTAGCTTAATCCATCATGGAAGTTTTTTTGCTTACATATGAGCAAACTAGTTCATTACTGATGTGACGAAGTACAAATGTACAGAGAAAAAGATATTCTTATAACTGAATGAAAAGTTTCAAATCAATTCCAAACGGTACAATTTCTTCTTGAGAATCTCCAGAAAACCAGGTTTTTTTTACCGAAATTTTTAGAATTCGATCTTGCTGAAAAGTTTAGCATAGATACAATCCGTGCTGTAGTTTTCAAATTTTTCTTCATACGGTTTGAGATATGTTTACTAATTAATTAAATGTAATTAATAATCAGCGGAAAGAGTCAACATTATTGTCAATGTTCTTGCTAAAAGAACTTATTCAGAAAAGTACCCTTTGTAAAGAATCAAAGTCAAAAAAAAAAAAAGGGATGGGCATGTCTCATTTCGACTGACATGATCTATACATGTTTTTAATTACGATCAAGCTATTTGCATCCATGAATAAGAAGTTTTCGATATCAATTAACTTGATTAACATAATATTCTACTTAATTTAATTTTCTTATTATTGTTTATTTATTCTATACCAGAAAGCTTTTTGCTGTATATGACTAACCCTGGTACACCGCCCGCTTCAATATGATTAGCTAATGTAACATCATCCGACCATGTGTCATATTGCCACTTTTTAAGACCTAATACTCCACATAAAACTCGTCCTGTGTGTATTCCAATACGCATATCGACATTGACACCAGTTGCTTCTCGTACTAATCTAAATAAGGATATTAACAAAAAAAAAAATTAGTTTGAAGTCAATCAATAAGGAAAATAAAATACTTAATATCGTCAATCATTTTTAAACCCATTCGAACACAATTTGATGCATGATTAGGTCGACTTATTGGTAAACCACTAACACAATAATAACAATCGCCAAGAATTTTTATTCGCATACAATCACATTCCTAAATATGAAAGAAAAACAAAATTTCTAGTAATTGATTTATCGACAAGTAATACTTGTGCTAATTGATCAAATTTTCCAAAAAGTTTATTAAGAATTTGTACTAATTCTGGTGGAGTAAATTTCTCTGATAATGGTGTAAAATTTACAATATCGGCATATAAAATTCTAATTAACAAACATGAATAACTTATTTAAAACATAAATATTCAAACTTACGTAACATTTTCATGTTTTTTTATATATAAATCATGAAATGTTGCTTTTCGTACACTAATTTTTTTTGTAGATGATCTTTGATCATCATATTCTCTTGATTGAAGATTATGATATTTAGCTGTTTCTTTTACTTTACGTAACATTTCTGATTTCATACTTAATGCTATAAAAAAAGAAAAATAATATTATGAAATTTTTATTTTCATTCTACCAATATGTGCTGGAATAACGCTAAGAATTAATGTTTCTTGTTGTTCTTTTTCACGTTCAAGTCTTAAACGTGCTTCTATACAACGCATCGTATTTTGATATGTTTTCTTTTGATGTGCATCTGTTAAATACCGATGGCATAGCCCAAATAAATTGCATGCAACAAAAAATAATGATAAACATATAACCTAGAAAATGACAATAAAGTCTAAGAAAAATTTCTATCGTATTAATATCTTAGCATAGATAGATAATTAGAGACTATTAATTTTCTTCTTTTTTATGCAATGAAATAAAAGAAAAAGAAAAAAAAAAAAGATAATTTACTTCAAGTTTAAATTCCATTCGATGAAATTTATTATTTAAATCATCAATACGATGTGTACGAATAACAAGTATTAAATGAATTAATGATGTTATTGAAGCCATCAAAATTGTCCATGATCGTGAAATAGGTAATGTTGTATGTATGGTTATTATTGAAAATGTAACAATACCCATTAGACGAATAATTGATGCATATTGTTGTAAAAGTATAGGTATTATAGAAAATAATGTTAATAAAAGCCATATTGATAAACATGATATATATACATGAGCATGAAGGAATTTTTCACGTTGAAGTAATACAATTAATGTTATTGATAGAAGTAAAACGCAAGAAAAAAGAATTGTTTCAAGAATGAATTGAGCCAAATTATACTATAATAAATTGAAATTCAAAAAGAAATTTATATATATATTATAATAAAAGAATTTAATTATTTACCTTGTTAGAAAAAATTGCCAATAGCAAGTAGACAAGACTTTGAAAAGCAGTTAATAATAACGAAAATAGAACCAGACTATGTTTAATTCGTATTAAATAAAGACCAAAATAATGTTTATTATCCATAGTAGCTAAAATCAATTGACATATTTCATTATCTGTTGTTTTTATTTTTATCAAAAGAAAATTTTTGAAAAATAAGATTGCATCAACTAAACTTATTACCTATTCAAAGGCATATTCATTTTATTAGTTGTTCGTCTAATAACAAGTGATTGTCAACAAAGAAGTTCTTTATTGAACTAACTATCCTATATATAACTTGACTCTCATTAACATCGTTGTAAAAAAAAAAAAAAAAAGACAAACATCAACAATGAAATCAATTTAGGAAATGTAAAGAAATGTGTTTAATGAGAAAAAGAAAGAACCTATTAATAAAATAATAATATCCATTAAAAATATTATACAACGTTAAATCAAATATCAATGAAAATAACATAGGTCATTATGAGAAAAATATAGCAGATGTTTTTAGTTTCTTTTAAATTTATTGTATCGAAATAATGACAAACAAAAGTATAACCTATAAAATGGTCATTGAAAAAAAAAAAAACAGAATAATAATCTTTAGTATTTTTTTACCCGTTATATCCGTGTCCTCTTATAAGCCGATATATGACATAAAACACTTCATCAGAACAAAAAAAAAAAAAAAAAAAGAAGAAGTTTCTATAAGATTTCATAACTCATTCTTTCGCTTTTATCCTCATGTGGATCATTTCTAGAACCAGATAAATACATATTAGCTATATGAAACGACACTTAAGAAACTAATCGATATTGATTCATAGCCACTTTCGTTTGCTTTCTCGTTCTCTTGATCTATCATCAAAATGAAGTGGATGAACCACTTACGCCACCACAATAACATATAACAATGAGCACTAAATATTGCCTAAAGCATTCATTGGAATGTTATCATGAGAGAAAGAAAAGAGCAAAAGCAACTGTCTTTCTTTTCTTTTAAAAGTTTTGTGTTTGCTGTTAAAGATAATATAGTCTGATCAAATTACCAAAAATTCTTGGTCATCGAAACTTTTCTTTTTCTTTTTCTTTTTTGTTACAAGGATCATGAGCAATATAAATTGAATATCGACTTCAAGGCAAAAAAAAAAAAAGAAACATTATATTAATTGAACATAAGCTTTTCTCTTTTCTTCTAATAGCATATAGTTAATAACGTTCTTTTTTTTCCGTTATTATATGAAAGAAAACCATTGATAATAAAAGAAGATTTTCTTTAAGATGATGAGCATTGTCGACTGCTATTCTTCTATTATAAAGATGATAACGATAATCAAACCCAAGCAACATGTCCTTTTGTTGCAAAAACGTCGTCTTAACACTTCTCTTCTTTTTCTCTAGAGAAATGCTTAAACGACCCTATAGATTGATGTAAAATGAGTAATCATCAAGCGCAATGATACGCAACATTTTTTTGTTATGCATATGGATATAGAAATAATAAGTGCCATTTTGTACCCGAAAACAGATTAATGACAATAGCTAGAATGCATTAGTGCACAAATAGGAAAAAGGAAAAAAAAACAGCATTTTGCTTTTCCGATGATTTTATCATACAATTGAATTAGCATGGTTATTTAGACAAAAATAACTTGTCATCACTATTGCTATTGTTAACTGTTCATAATGTGAAAGCGAAAGAAAAAGAAAAGGACAAAGACTTTTTTATTAAGATAAAAAGACTATTAGATTGTACCTGTGGTTCCACTTGCTGATGACCAGTCCATGGTAAGTCGTGGATTGTTGTTGGAACTATTACATGTATTTGTAATGTCGAATACATTCACCGATTCTAAGAAAACAAACCTTGACAAATGAAGATTGATAAATAAACACAATGTCTATAGCCCACTTCCAAGAACAAACAAGAGATTTTATTACAGATGTGAAAACATAACAGAGAATATTGACGAAAAAAAAAAAAAGACTATAGAATAAATGATACCCATGCTTATGAAGAAGAATGTAATTATCTCTTTCTTGTTGCAATATCGATCTTTTATGATTAATTTGTGTATATTTTTTTTTTACAGTATTACTCCCAGGAAACATGTTGAAATGTTCTATCTATCTTAAACTTATTAGTGTGCATAGATTGCTGTATTAACTGCTTGTTATTAATAATGAGATGGAAGAAAGCTAGTGATAGCATATGATCAATTCGCTAGTTGATACAATATCCATATTGTTTGAATAATAAGCAACTATTAAGAAATTATAGACAATATGTTGTTTCACTTATATGGTAAATAGACATATGATAGTAGCTGGTTTCCTCATGAAAGTATACAATGATTTCTATTCAATTATATAGTTTGTCTTCAAATATTTATAGATGAATAAAATCTTATATTGTTTCTACAGACACAACTCATCAAGTTTACTCAATCGAAAATAAGTAATGCTTATAATTAATATTGTTTCTTTTCCATAGTACTTTTGGGTTACATCATAAGATCCACAAATGCTATGTCAAGGTCCTGTAATATAAGTATGATTACAAAACAAATGTCAAAAAGAAAAATATACTAAGAAAATGTTACTCAATTATACAAAATCATGCATAATTAATTTTTTTTCTTTTAATTAACACAATTTTTCAATGCATTCACTTACTTCGTTTGTTATTATTTTTTGTTTGACTCATGAATGAATCACGATTTTTATTTTTTTGATCAATTATTCGTAACGATGATGATACCGTTGATTGGTTTCGACGTCGTCGAAGAAGTTTAAAAACAGAAGATCGATGTTGTTGACGATGTTCTTTTCCCATTCTATCATGATTGTTATCCATGAGGTTTTTTTTGTATACCTTGTCAAATATAAAATTTGAAAGAATATTTCTCTTTTGTTGTGTTTATCTGTCCAAATGTGTATGTGTATGTGTGCAAAGAGTATGTAAAAAACAATCAAACACAACAGACACTAATGAGTATCGGCATTTAATTTCACCCTATTGATAACAGTTCGTTATTGCAATAGGCAGAATAATTGAGTGATAACAACAAATGCTCTATGCGAATAGTTTTATTTATTAAAAAAGAAATATTCTGTTTCTTTCGTAAGAGAAAAAAAACTTAAAGCGATGTGTGATGATGGTGTTATTTTTAATAAGCACAATACTATACTGAAATCTTGAGTATGTAGTTGTCTGGAACAGAGTTGTTGCTGTCTAAACTAAGAGATATATTCTTCTTCTGTGTCTTGTCTAAAGCAAAAAAACCCGATAAAATTACTTATTTTCTCTTCTTTCCTTGTTCTTCTTCGACTTCGTCTTCATATCTTTCCATCGTCTTGTACTACTTGTCTTCGTTAGTAGACAAGATCATCAATGGACGAACCGAGATTACTGTTGAGAATAGCAAAATATATATATATGAAGAAGAAGTGGAAAATGAAGATGATGATTATGAATGCATGGAAGGCAGAGAGAAGATAAAGACAAAGACGATGTCTTTTACTTTCTTATTAGCTACACACGCGCTCATATGCTCATTTCTATCGGTCATAACATAGTAAATTTTATCAAACTATTATACAAACACTATCTATATCAAGAATTTCTCTTGTGCACATTGTCACGTCGTTGTTATATATGCACCATTTACAATAGTAACAATAATGCCAGTAGCGTGCACATATAATAATATATATATATATATCTATTTTAATTAAAGATTATGTCAATAATATCCTAATAAGCTGAAAAAAGAAAGCAAACTTCAAATATTACAAATAATTCTATGATATCAACAAATTAATGATGACTATTTTAATATCAATATGTGGTTAAAATAGTTATACAATTTGAATAATTGTTGCAGTAATAGAAGTACTGAAATAGTTCTTCATAGATGATGGAATACATCGACAATAGCTTCAGCGTTTGTACATAGATTGTACGATGATATTAATACATGATACAAAAGTTTTTGAAATAATGTCACTTCATTTTGTCGAACTCAAACATTTTCGAAGAAAATAGTAAGTGTTAGTTTTAAGTCAAAGTTTTTTAATTCTCTCTCATTCTTCATAATAGACATTAGGAACGCTCTAATGTTACATTTGTCATTTGATCAACATAAAAAGTGTGAATTGGTCAAGATATAACTTAAAAAAAGATAATCAATATCGATATATATATATATATATAACGGTGTGTTAAGATCTGCTACTGTTGACATAGCGGATATTTACAGCAACCTAATTGTACATTTAATTCAATGCTTATAGAGATAACAATGTTAGTGTATAGAAAATAACGACCTAATAGCAACAATACAAAGAAAAAAAAATTCTGTTCGAAATGCAGAAATAAATAAGACAAATCTTTACTTTACTGATCGATTATCTTCGAACCGAGCTATAGTCTATGAAGGATTTTTCACTTCACCTATTTTGCATTAGTTTAATGAGGCTAAAGAACATATGTAAATTCTACATTTCAGCCCCAAAGGGCCTCGCTAAGAAGATTTTTCATCGGGTAACGTATTCTTTAAAAAAGTCAGGAATATCTATTCAAAATCTACATTGAAAATTCTTTTTGACAACGTATTCAAAAAGGTTCTATTACTTATTGTATTTGAATAGTACTAAAATGCGTTTTGTAAGAACAGTTCGAAATAGTTGTTGCACAGATTTTTGCGACTTTATCATGTACATTCGATTAAATAGTATTGATCTTTTTTTCTTTATCGATTTCCTCCTTTAACTGTTCATAAACCATACAAAAAAAAAACTAACCGAAGAGCTCTAGCTAATTCTCAGATGGCTGTTCTTATTCGTTCTTTCGGCAGATCAGTCATATAAGGGCTTTGACGTATTTATATCAACATTATACCGGATCTCGTGTAATCATTATATCATATGTTTTTAAAAAAACTCGTATAGACTCGCTACTATTTTCAGATCTAAATTTGACGATATTAGAAAGAAATATTAATGTATATTCTGAATAGGCGTTCCTGATTTTTCTAAAAAGCGCATTTTAGCCAATGAAAAATGGAGTCATATTTTTGCAGGAATTTTTGTATCATCCGTAAGATGAATGTAACAAAAAAAAACACTATGAGAGGCAAAAAATTTGAAGCATAAGCAAGCAAAAAAAAAAAATAAATTAAAAAATGTAGAAATAAAAGATGAAAACCAACCACGCGACAGGATGATAGAAATGTCTTATATTTTATATAGCCATTAGGGAGAGTTATGTTTCCTGCAAAGATAAAACAAAAGAAACAAAAATGAATGTACAAGCGATAGAATGACATGTTAGTTTCATTATTCAATGAACTATCACTTATAAAGTACTGATGCAACATACCTATTCTAATAAAGACTTTGTTCAAATATTCTTTTCATTTCAAAACAATAATACTTAATTGTAGTAATAATTCAAACATAACGACACATGAATAAGTTCTAGTAAAACAATGTTCATATATTTTAGTTAATTCGAAATAAGATTTCTACAAGGCTAGACGATCAAAAAATAAATACATAATTTCTGCTAAGATTTTATTATAGTACCTAATGCTATGCAAAAGAATATTTAAAATGTTTGATACCTAATCGATGATTAAATGACTTAAAAATAGTATTTCTGGTAATTCAGTATTATGTAGCTTATCGTCATAGTTCTATGACATTTAAACGTATCGCACAATAGATAAATTCAGCAAAGAATATATTTTCAAATATTGATTGGTAGGAAACTAAGTTGTAGATGATGAAAATATTGGTAACTAATGATCTGAATAATGAATACAAAACAAATCAATAACGAGTATTATAATCATGGTTAAACACGTAGAATTCTTCGCTGAAAATCATATGAGTTTAAAGAATAATTAATTACCTTTTAACAAATGAGTGTTTTATATAATTATTTAAGGTTTTTTTTCAGTAACATGTTGAACTGAGAAAAAGGATCAAAAATACAATATGACTCGAGATCATATGTTAAATTAATCGATCTAAGCAAATATTTTATACATGCACTTTCCTCATTTCTAATACCCTATACAAATGAATACTTATATTGTCAACGAATCAATAGCACTTGAATAATTGGTATTGGAATCTGATTTAATTATTTTATTTATTTTGAAGAAAAAATTTCATTTCGTCAGATAATCGATCATTGAAGGGCAAGCAAATAATTTCAACAAAGATTTTGTTTGAATACTCGATTACCGTTTTGTAAATAATGACTGAGACTAATAACGGAATTGGAGATTGCAGCTGACAGAAATTATTCAAAACATACGGCTATTCAGATAGTTACACAATTAACAGATTAAATGAGGAATTTTTATATAATTTTCTTTTTCGATATAATAGAATATTATCGAGAAAACAAATAATTTTAAACAAACTCCGAATATTTTACTCAATGCCTTGCACGAATGTGTTCTACGCTGGTTAGAGCGTTGTTCGAACAATTCAGCGAAAAAGATTTAATATTCGTCGTCGAAACTAGTCCCTTTGGAATCTTCATCGACCAAAAAAAATAGAGAGGTTTAGCAAAAAAATAGAATTTTGTTTGTGCAATTCCAGCGAAGCATAATTGATTCGAAGGGTACTACCAAAAAACATCGTTCTCCTACCTCTCACAACAAAAAAAAAGATCTGATTTGAGGTTCATGTTCACACTATTGTATCTGTATATCATGGTTAAAGAGCAAAAAGAATTATTTGAACAAATCTTTACGGATTTTATGCTTACCTTAATATCTTCATTATCCTTACACTGTATCAAATCAACTTTCATCTTTCTTCATTCTTCCTATTTTCGGAAGAATTGAAATTCGTTTCAGAAAGAATAAGACCAATATATCGTTCCTCAAGCTATTCTTTCGATAGATATTTGGAGACGGAGTTAATTATGACTGTAATGTTAAAAATGAAGAAAATCCTACTGTTTAATGTCATCTAACTGTAATGTTTCATTTATTTGAATCAATGTTGAATATTGCAGCGTTACAATAAGTTTTGTCCGTTTCTTTAACATTCAAATTAACAGGCAGCTGCATTGCATCACTGCTGTCAGACGAATAATGCTTTACGTTCAAAGATGTGAATATATAGGATCTAATTAAGAATCAAACAATAGAACGTAGTATATTTTGACCTTTAGATTATTCTGCTAACACTACTGTTATAACCGTGTCTAACTGAATGTATCAGGCAGAAGTTGCATCTGACACGCATGCTAATTAGAAGTATTTAAAATAATTGCGCACTTATTATCTTGTATTCTCATTTCCCTAAGTATCATTAGTGTCCCATTTCCATCAATTACGATTATCTCATCTTTCTAGCAATATCAAGATAAGAAAACCTTTGCAAAAAAGAATATCAAAGCAAGTTTGTCTGTGCAAATACTTTGCGAAACAAGAAGAAAATCATAAAAACCTAAAGCTAGCAAAAACGCATCGAACTGAGAACGAAAATATTATATTTCAATTAAACATCTTTACAAGCCTCTTCAATAATATATTTATTGATAAAAACTCGATTATAATTGATGCATTCACTAACTATTCTCAATTCATCAATAACAATTCTGAATTAATACCACAGTCAACATTAACTAATGGTAATATTGAAGAACATTCTTACAGTTTTTGCACTGTATGTTGCAAGTATTGGAAGCCGAATAAAACAATATTTCTTGAAATAGAACAGAGATAAGAAAGTGTATTTATATCAGCTTCATTTACCAATTGGAATAACGCTTCACGAAACAGTGGAAGACTAATGAAACATTCACTG